GCCCCCAAAATTTTTTCCCCAATGCTCCTCTTAAGTGTGTTTTGGGGGGGGGGATTTCAACAGGGGAAACCCCCCCCCCTCCTACACATTTTTTTTTAATAACACTCTTTTTTCTTTTATACGGGCAATCAATAAGAGAGGAGGCGCTCTCAAACAGAAGAAAAACCTTTTTTTTAGTGCCCAGGCTTTTTTTTAATTATGGGGCCCCCCCCCCCGCATCATCTACACAGGTGAAGTCGTGCGTGCGTTCAGGAGCAGAAGCAGTGTATTCTTGCTGTTCGCCATGCACCTGTGTAGATGATGCGGGGGGGGGGGGCTCGATAATGAATGAAGCCATGGTCAGTAGTAAAAGGTTTTGATATCCTTTTGTGAACACTGCTCTCTTATTACATGTACCTATTATAATAGTAATACAGTTTTTTAATAAAACATGTTGTAATGGGCTGGTTCTGCACTTGGTACTGTCCAATCGCAAAAACCATATGAAGTCCAATAAGGGCGATCTGTGAATAACACTGTTCAATGAGGGTGATCTGTGATAAGTTTGGGGGTTCCGCAACTATCATCTCCCTAAACCCTGCTGGTGGAATCCGGGACATCATTTTATTAATTCATGTATGTAGTCAGATCGATCAGAATAAACAGGCAAATACAGGAGTCACACACAAAAAAATTATCCAAATTAGGCAAATTCATCATCGAAAGAGCGAGTATAATTCTTACGTAAACACACTAAATATATGTTACTTCGAAGTTTTATGTATTTAGTAAAACATACAGCTGCAGTACTAAACACTGTATTGTTTTTACTACACCAATCTTCGGAGTTCAGTATGCCCTATAGTAGGGCATAGGGCCTTTACATATACATATGTTAGTCGATTCGTAATGAACGTAAACATTTATCCTCCCAAAGCCACTGCATTGTCAAGCCGAGGCTTTAAATTATTTTATACATTATTACAGTATGGTCCGCCGTCATCGAAGAGAGCACCACTTTTCATCTCATTCTCAAACTGGCTTTGTAAATAACAGGCAAACCCTCTAAAGCTTGGCTCCTCTGCGAAATCAATGCGGAACTTCTTTTTCCTTCTCTTCGCTCTCGCCTTCGTTTTCGGCGGCAGTAACGCGCGCTCGGCCACCGAACATGCCCAGCTCATGGTGTCGCAGTCGGAGCTGGACCAACCCACCCGGTGGAACGTCGCCGACAAACGCTTACTGCGGGCCAACGACGGCACGAATGCTGCCGAGGAAGAACGAGGAATGGCGGACATTGCAACGAAGATGAAGACGTGGACACAAAGCTTAAAAACTCATGTCGGCAGCTCGAAGCCGTTTCAGATAGCGGCTCAGAAATGGAGAAACACGAAGGTGCAGCGAATGATCAAAAAGGGAATTTCTGATACGGCTTTGTTTGAAAACAAGGTCACTCCTGACGAATTTTTCAAGGCGCTGAGGCTGAAACCAGGGTTGAAACAATCGTCTGTTACAAACAACCCTGCTCTGAACAAGTACCGCGCCTACAAGAGCTTTTACGAGTCCAAGATCAAGACTGCTGCTACGTAAAAACTGGATCAGAATCACTTCATTACAGCAGTGAGAAATGTTGTATGACTAGCAGCTCGGTATGTACGGCACTGTTCACCCGACCGGCGCTTGTTTTCTCGTAATACATGGTAGCATTTTGGCCCTCCCGATGTGTTGTTGCTTTTTTCAATGAGAACGGTGTGTCGCGATAGTTTCAGTATCACATCGAGCTGCAGGTGGTCTGGAATTACTACAAGTCTATATTTCTGCTGAATCGTTTAAACTTCAAATTGTTAGAACACAGCCCAAGGCAACTTTAATAGTACGTAGTATATAACATTGTAAATGAATACCCACCGCATTTCTACGTACGTATATCCCGTTATCAACTTTGATGTAAACAGTAACATGTAGATGGAACTCCGGTAATCTCATGCTGTTCTACCATTCATAGAGTGCATTGGTATGCTATTGTTCAGCGAGTCCATCATGGTACAGGCTTTTGTGGCGACAATAATCGCGGGAAAGGAACGGCGCTTTTGTGCGGCTGTACGGTAATGGCATTGGTATTAACCCCTCATTCACCGGTCGCATGCCACAAGTAAATATTTTAAACAAAGTAGATAAAAAAAATGGTTTCGGCAATATTTTAGCTTAAAGGTTAGCATTCAAATTCGTCGTGTACGAATTAGAAGAAAAAACTACAAGCGAGTGGTACTGCTGCCGTTGTTGCTATACGCTAGTGGCAGTTTAGTCGGAGTCGCTCGGATCACCTTTTTCGCCCTTGCTTTCTGGCTTACCAAAGATTTAATAGCAGACTTTGTACCCCGAGAGCTGTGTATACTAGGCAACGAGACGCCGTCTCCACGGGTCCCTGCTGTCCGAATCTTACTGGCCATGTTGCGCTTTGCACTCAACAACGAGTTTTGCAATGTGATGACGATGCCGTGCGACTCTCCAAGATATGTTGATGTAATCTCCTTGCCTTTCTTATACGACTGTAGACTCAGATCCCAGCACTTCAAGAACTCTTGTTCGACTCCCACATTATGGTACGCAATACCCAGGACTGCCACGCGATCCAGTTTAATCGTCGGGTCAGTCTTGTCGCCTCTCTTTCCACCAAAGCCCTTGCGTGTTGGGCTTGATCCTCCATCTACGCGACCAAGTTGCAGCTCCTCATGCAAATTAATCAACGCCGATTGAGCGTGACCTAGTGCGCTTTGGTGCTTACCAAGCTGAGAGAGTACCGCACACATGTTGAGATGTGTGTCCGCTTTATTCGGCAAATTATCCAGACGAGACTCGATTTTGAGTGCTTCGGTTAAGTTAGTGAGTGCCTTGTGAAGGTTCCCTTGTCGACGATAGTAACACGCTAAGTTATTGAGTGTTACGGCTCGGCCGGCAGGATGTCGCTCCGTTAATATCTCTGCCTTCTTGAGCAACTCAAGCACTACTCGAAACTCTTCTTGCTGCAAGTAGGTCATAGCTAAAAGGTTGCACATTTCGCCCACTGTCCTGCAAGACGTCCATACTTCGTCGCTGTCTGCACCAAAGAAGTGCTGTCTTAGTACAAGACCTTTCTCCATGCACTCCAGTGCCTCTGTGTATCTTCCTTCTTGCTGTAGCTGTGCGCACTTGTCGTCCAATCTCTGCAAGGCAACGAGCTCCTTCTGATTCTCGATAAAGTGCGTCTCTTCCAATTGCTCCAGCTCGCTAACCTGTTTCGACGAAGCTGGAGATCGGAACTTCGACGTCTGGTTCCGCTCACTTATGTCCGTGGCAGGAGCGGGTGGGATCTCATTGTTAGAGTCCGCGTCATCCTCAAAGACCAGTGTGTTTCCATCCATTTTGTTGCAAAATGCTAGTGCTCCTATTAGCACTGTAGCCATTTTTAGACATGGCTACAATTACGACTACTGTATCCGTCTTAATAAAAGCTCATAACGGTCGGAGACCATTGAAAACATGGCTACATCTGACGTGGCAAAACCGATCATAGCAAATGGGAGCTGCTCCGCGCAATGACACCAGCGCTACGCGGCAACAGGACCAGGTGAGCCCCCGTGCTTCCTCTAACAGCACAGACAATGAGGACCAGGCCAAAGAGCATGCAACAACGATTGTCCCGTTGTGTGTGCGAGTCGATGATGACGTTGAGAGTGAAAGCTTGCTGGAGTTCGAGTGCGACTGGGCCCCGGGTATCGGTGGCTCCATCTGGACCAGTGGTGAGCTCCTTGCTGCGCACTTAGAGCTACAACGCGAGTATTTTCGCTCGATCTTCGATGGCGCCCGCGTAGTGGAGTTAGGTAGTGGTACAGGTTACGTTGGACTCATGATCGCCGCCTGTTTTAAGCCGGCGCACGTGTACCTTACGGATCTATCGACACATATCCAGGGCTTGCATCGCAATGTAGAGCGCAATGCTGGAGCTGTGCGTGCTGGCGTGCAGGTGCACGTCTCGGAGCTGAGCTGGGGTTGCTCGGAGCAGGAGACAGGTCTGCTGGAGTCTATCGCCGCGACCAGCGACGGCTCGGACGGGAACCTTGAAGCGGTGGACGTCATCCTGGGCACTGACGTGGCATATTTGCGAGAGCTATACGACCCTTTACTGCATACAATGAACCGCTTGGCGACGTCGCGGACGTTGATCCTCTTGGGCTTGAACCGGGCTGACACACGCCACACGTTTTTCCAGCAACTCGAACGAGATGGCTTCGAGTACTACAAGATCCCGGATTTCAAGCTCCCGCAGGAATACTGGGGGCGTGACTTTGGACTGCTCGAAATTCGCCGCGTTCGACAGGATGGAGCAGCAGATCTCTAGTGAACCCATATCAATTGCTGCATCTCGCCCGTGAACCCAAACTCGGCGGCAAAGCTCCAAGGTATTCGATACGAGGACGGCGAGCAATTTCATTGATACTGTACCAAAGCAACCAGGTATAACAGCATTCTACTTACGTAATAGATATTATAGAAACGATGGTCGCTGAGTGTTGTCGGCATTCGCCAACGAGGATGACATAGGCGTAGCAAACGCTAAATGTAGCCATTTCACGACGAGACTACTGTACGTGCGACAACCTGAACCTTCACTTTTTCTCATCAAGATCGGTCGGTCTCCTCCTCTGGAGGAGGCTCCTGAGCGAGCCGCCACACAGCTTCAACTCTTGAAACTTGTTGCCTTGGCATTTGCACCATGGTTGCATTGACACTGACAAAAGTGTGTTGAGGTTGCCATTGCAAACTGGAAAATTGAAGTGTGGCGTGAACATGTCCAAGTTGGACTCCAATGTGCGGAGTCTGCGGCTGCGCGATCGGTTCGGACTCGTGCCACAACACGACGTCGAGGATACACCTCTTCCTTTAACTCGCCTTATTTACAGTGTTCATCCTCGTGACATCCGTCCCTGTGGATTCTTGCGCGCATGTTCCGCGCATCCCTTAAGTTGGGGGTCTTCCCTGCCTCGAATGCTCCCTTCATCAAAGTGCGAGCAAGCCGAGACTGCTCATGGTCCGTCGTCGCCGGCTTCTCGCTACTCCGTGGCGGATCACCACAGCAGCAAGAATTGACAGCAAAACTCTCGCATTTCCGCCAAAAATTGAGTATTGACCTGACGATTTTTGGATTTTCTTTGGCGTCTCGCCATAACCGTCATTGAATACGCCACAAATTGTATCTTTTCCGACCACATTCGCACCGTGTCCAAAAGTCAGCTTGACACCTGTGCAATCACATTGAACGAATCTGAAAAGAAAACGATAGATCTTTTGATTTGATACCTCTAAACATTATATACCTTTAAAACTGGTTCTAAACAAGATGATAAGAGGTAGTGCATGCCCTAGTGTTCCGGCTACACAAAAACGGCTTGCACTTTCGCTCAGAAGAAATCGCTCCTCAGTGGCAACAGGTCGATTAGGGCAAAAAGTGCCATTGCGGCTGCAGGTTGAAGGCAAACGATGAGCAGTAGTTCCGCGCCGACCAGCGCCCCCAGCTCGTGGCATAAGCGCGTGGGGCGCCAAAAGCTACAGGCGAACAGCAAGCTCGGCTCGTGGTTCGTGAGCAAATTCGCCAGCAAGAACAAGCTGCTGCGCGACCACGACGAGGAGACGGCACAGAACCAGCGGCGTCGGCCGGTCGGTACGCTCAGCGCCGTGACAAACCAGCAACAGGCGAACGCCGCGCGGCGCGAGGAACTCAGTCGCAACAAGCCTGTGCGCCAGAAGAGTTTCCTGCGACAGCAACTGCAGGAAATGAAGCGGCAATCCGCCGAGGCGCTGCAGCGCGCCCAGAAGCGTATGGATGGGGAGATAGTCGAGGTAGATGAAGAAGATCTTGACGACAAATCATCATCTGATGAGGAGGAAGGGCTCCACGTGGTCGACGACCCGGAGGACGCTCTACGCGGGAGTCTAAGCAGCAACCCGGCGTCGTCCAGGAGGTCCAGCACCTGCTCGCGACGTCGTAGTGCCGCCGAGGAGCAACAGGAACGGGAGGACGAAATTTTGGCCCACGAAACTCAGAGAGTCGAGTACTCGGAAGAGGCGAACCGACGCATGAGTCAGGCCACACAACTGTACGCTGAAGCTATCAGCGCTTTGGACTACGCGCTGCATCCGAAACGTCAACCGGAGAAAGAGGCCTCTCCGAAGCCTCTGCTTCTTGGCGTCAAAAAAGGAAGTGCAAATATGCCCAAAAGTGAGTGGATTTAAGCAAAAAAATTGGCAAAAGTTTTTGGGGTAACGCCACACTGACGGAAGGAAGACAGTTTGAAGACGTGACGAAAAACGTGAGTGACAAAATGGTGGACGGAGGTACAGGCGGTGTATATCAAGATTTTCTTCGCCACGAGGAGGACGTAGCAGTAGTTTGGTATAAAAGGCGACGGCAATATTTTTATTTTGGGGGAAAAGTACTTAATTACAGTAGTAAAGAGAGTATGAACGATGAATATCAAGCGACGAAGCTACAGTGTTTTGTCACTTTGAGGATCGAGAGAATGCAACAAAGTGGGGATCTTCCAGTGGATGGTGCTCAACACGCTCGTAGCCGTCAAATGTCAACTTGTCCGTCTTCATCTCAGCAAACGCTTGCCGTTGGATCTTGACGTCAAACGGCAAGTAGCTGCAGTACACAACAGCGGTAAGTTCCGCACGCAATAGCGGTAAGTTCAGGTAAGACACAAGTGCAACAAAAATTTACATGAGTTCCAGTGACGGAGTCGTATCAAACGCGTGTTCGTTGACAACACGAACGGGGTTCAAGTCCAGATGTCTGCCAAGCGGATGCCTTTAGTGAGTCAGCGTAACAAGAGTAGACGTACGAGCACTCTCACATCACTTTGAGTTGCGTTAAAGGGGCTCTATGTGCGGTGAACACGCCTTCACTGTCCGTCACGTAGCCGAGAAACATTTCCGGCAACACTTTGGTGAACTTGTTCCCAGAGAGATCCCTGCCAAACAGATAGCAGTGATAAGTCCAGAGCTACTGCAACGCTGGGTTAACATCGTACAAGTACGTCGTGGTTACGGGGATGTTGATCGGAACTTCCTGCAACCAAAGTTTACAGTTTTTTGTGTCAGCATTCAGGATCGAGGACGATCACGCGACTGGCATCCACCTTAAGCCCTCGAAAATCACAGTAGACGGATACGCGCGCTTGACCGATGCAGTGACACTCCGTCGGGCAGGCTTCAACTGGGAGGAGCCCTGAGATCGTATGAAACGAGAGGAGTACGAGAAGCTCACACCGCCACATCGCACGGAAGCAGCCTCAATGGATCTCGAAGATCTTGCGTCAAGCGTCGCGACAAATGAAGCGGAAAACGTTCGGAAGGGTATGTGCAATGCAATTGTCTGGACGCAATTGGCGTCGCTGTCCGCGACTTTTTGTAGGGATTCTTTACGTGACATGCGCTAGTTGCTGGACAGGAAGCTGCTGCTTCGTTTGATAGTCTTTAGACGCTCAAACTTCACGCACTGCTCAGCGCAGCTCGTCTAACGACTGAGTTCTTACGTTTTGCTTTCAGTGTCAGCAATTGTTGATACCACTACCATGACTCAAAAGCAACTCAGTCCGGGTAACCGGTGGCCGCTTCGCAGACAGGAAACGGTTGTCCTCGCTGTCTCATGGCGCTCTGAATTCTGCTCTTCGACTCGCTTTCGAGCCACGTTGCCGCGCAACAAGCAGTGGTTTGGAACCAGCGGCGAGGAGAACGCGTTGAGTGCGGCCGTCACGGCTTCCTATCTCTTCCACGGCATTCCCATGCATTTGCAACGCTTGAAGTTTTTGAGTTCTAGCGAGTCGCGCGCGGGAGCGGACCAGTGGGTCATCACGTAAGACTAGCATGTTGCAAGAAATTCTCCGACGAGTAACGCACGTCCTTTTGCCCCGTTTTCCCAGCGTGATCCGTCGCTTTAGTGGGGCACTCCTCACACTCCACCTTTTGGCGGATGCGCAACTCCATACGTAGTGTGGCATTGCCGAACTGGGCCCATTCGGTCTTTTGCCATCCTCCGCGCAAGCACGCGACGTCGACGTAGCTGTACACCAAGCAACAATGCAACAGAACCCGGCTACTGTCGAGGCTGGAACCGTGCACCCGGTCACCTACCGCATGACGAGCGGTTGTAACCCTTCCAGCCAGGCTCACCGCAACCTCAGCGTGTCATGCGCGAAGGAGGACTTCCGACGCCGTCGGATGTCCTGGAATGGCGTCACTGCCAACCGCGTTTCGGACGACAGCTTCGACTGTCCGCAACGTCCGCGCACTACAAGAGCCGCTTCTACTGTTACCTCGCCGACGCGTCTTCGGCTCATTTACGAAGATGAAGACACCAAGGCTCGAGTATGTGGAAATGTGCAGCGACTACTCAATGTCGCCCAAAAGGACCCCGAAGCCAAGTCCGCCAATGCGCAGTTAGCGCGGAAAGTGCTAAAATATCGGCGAGTTATGGGGAGACTGGACGACGTGAACGTAGAGGACCCCGACTTCGACGTGTCCGCGTTCTTCGGCATCGAGTGGTGCCGCGTGGGTGCCCCCTCAAGCTGAAGTTATCTATGTTGAAGTTCTCCACTCTCTCTGGTGTCAACTTCGTAGTGCCCGACCGAGGAAGGACAAAAAAAATAGTAAGATTATCGGAAATGGCATTGATGACGGGAGTTAACCTTTCCACACTGCGTAGCATTGATAGCTCGTGGCCGAATACATGTACCGGTAAATTTGTCTTCAATTTGCCCTCGAGTGAGAAACTCGGATCTGTAAACGGAACATGGAGCTCAAATTGATGCCAGGTCGGCCCGAGCTATGCTAGTCGGCCGGGCCGACCAAAGCAAAGCCACGAGGCCCTGAAGGTTTCCACACCCAGCGCTGAATACAGAGGACACTTCATAGTATCGCACGTTGAGTGATACGAACGAAACGCCTTACTGCATGTACCTAGCGTCCCCCTCCACTAATTTCGTTCGTATTCAAGTCCCCTCGCCACCAACTCAGCTGCAGACTGTTTCCACGAAAGAAGAAAAACGTTTGTTGAGATCCACATCAGCAGCAGGATGATTAAATTGTTCATCGCTGCGTTGTCTCCTTCAATAAATTTGACCTGAATCTGCAACGTGAGACGCGATTCAGGTGAGTACCTAATCGTCGTCGGCAGGTGGGCTCATGAACCTTCACAACCAAACGCAAAACCTTTTCATCAACTTTTTTTCGGCGCGTAAGTAACGAGCCAACTGTGCCCTTTTGTCTCGCCAACGAAGTGCTCGTAACCAAGCAGTGCAGTGGCTTCTTCGCCTCATCAGCGTGCCACTCGTGTACTTGACCACTGTAGAAGAGCAAAGTTGACACCAAGCAAGATGCGCCAGCTTTGGGTTCCAAAGCTCTAAATTGGGGGACAATAGACCATTGTCTATAGTTGATTTGCACCGCTGCATCGTTGCTAACGCCCTCCTCAGGATTTTTTGAGAGGATCGTACTATTCTACAGAGGATCGTACTATTCTACTGTACATACATGTATTTTCCTCAGGATTGATGCTGAGCTCTCTTGCGTCGTGTGCGTGCGCAGAGTGCGCCGGTCCAATAATCGCTTCTGCTAACCAAGCTGCAACTTGCAAGGTGGACAAGTTGCTGTTTGGCCGTTCGCTTACACATTACTCACTTAAATGTCTCTCGAAGAGGAAGAATCATCCGCGCCACGTCGATCCGGGATGCGTCTTGTGTCCCTCTTTATGCTTCACGACTATCTCTACGATCGGACTCTCGTATCGCACTTCAACGTACACTGTGTATTACTACACACCACACACCAACCGTTGGTGCAGCGAAACAACCTCCGCAGAGAACAACCAAATTTGCATGCCTTTGAAGCCGTAGAGACGCGACGAGTAGATGCCAATCCATCGTCTTCATCGCCTTATCAAGCACTTTCGTGAATATTTGCTGTTTCCTTGCTGCATTGCAGATTCTTTGGAGAAATGCACGGGGTGCACTTGCAACATGAAGACCTTATGGGCACGAACGCTGGCCTGTTATGCCAATTTGACCTGCCATCCTTGTCGAGTGTGCAATCGCTTGCCCAGTTTCTGCTGTCAGCATCGTAAATACGATTCATTCTGCCATTTTTCGTAGACCCCCCTCTTAACACAAAGCACTCTAATACATCATCCGTCGCTGCATTTTAAACGTGTAAATTGCAGCATTGCGAAGTACGTTTTCGTATCATGTTGAAAAGCTTAGCAGTACACTGCAGTTCGCGTTAATAGGAGTTGTGTCTCAACCGAGATCTTTCTAAAAGTAAGCGCCTCGATACTCGAGCGAGAATCAATTGTTTGCATCCTTCACCATCAACGTGGCGAGACCCGATCCTCCGACATCAACAAAGAAGAGCCTTGGGGAAGGCATCATGATGAAGGGTGGTCGGACCTTCAGGATGTGGACGTCGCCCCTTCCTTCCTCATTTGCAGTTGCGAGCTGTGCGACCGAAAACTCGTGCTGAAGACGAACGTAATACACCTCTCTGGTGGTCTCCACAGCAATTTGCACTCCCTCTTTCGAGCAGAGCAGCCTACGGTGGACGGCCAACGAGAGATAGATATAGAGAGTTTCGCGATCGCTCGACGCTGGGATTCAAGCGACCATCTTCACTTGAGCTCTGCTTCGCACAGTTTGACAAGAGCCAACGGGGTGGGACTTGGCCGGGAAAACGCACACGAGCACGCATCGGGAGCAGGACTTACAAGCGGACGCGGTACATCAACGAGCGACTCCCACTTGTGAGAGGAGCGCAGTACATTTCATTGCCGTCTTCTCCTGAGAGCCCCCATTTCGACATTTATTCCAGATTGATATAAGCTCCTGCCTCACGTTTGCGAGCAGCTCCGCTCCATTATCACCTGTGTTTCTATCACGGAAGCCAAATCGGACGCGAAGACCGCCATTCCATCTCAATTCGCCGACACCTGGGAGCGTTTCTACGGCACGGAACTCAGCATTGCAAACCTCTTCGACAATCCACATTCCAACAGCATAGCCGACCGGAACAACAACTTGTGCATGCCTACTGTGATCAAGCAACACCATTTCAGTGAGAATAAAGATATCATCCGTCCCGGGTACAGGTACACTAGAAGAATGGAGCCGTCGGACGGTCCGAAAGAAGAAACGCGTCCTCGTCGACGTCGGAGATCCAGCGACTCGGTCATTTCAATAGCTTTAGAAGACGCTCCAGCCCGTGGATCTTCTGCTGGACCTTGTCGCGCTGAGTTAACCCCGTCAGAGGAGCACAACGCTTCACTTGCACCTATCTTGCTGGACACTATTGAGGCTCAAATTGGACCGAGTCCAGCTACCACGACGCGGTCTCCAGCCGAAACAAGCTCTACCGGGCCTAGCCCGGGACGATACACGGGCAAGCGCCGAGCCTCGGGTGAGATGATCCATCGTGAGGAGTCCAAGACGATGCAGTCTACGCGTCAAGGCTCAACACCAGGAGGGAGCGAGATTCGCCGTCCAGATCTTCCAAAGCAGGCGGTCGTTTCGCCAACGGTGCACACCGTCAGTGAAGTAGAGACGCCTCAACAGCAAGACACACAAGAAAACCAGCCGCACACTTCAAACCTGCCGCTGCGGGTGTCTACACGACGGACTACAACGACGACGAGATGGTCGCCTTCGATGCCGGGTGGTCCCAGGGAGCGGGCGTCCAGAACGGCGCGAGGATCAACTGCAAAGACGGCGACGCCACCCGCTCGTCCGATCTCGAACGCGACACGGAACGTCAGCTTTGGCATGCTGCAGCCACATTTTGAGCGGCCACTACAACAGGCGGCCGACAGCTTCGGCGTGTGCACGACCTTGTTGAAGAAAATCTGCCGGCGGAACGGCATCAGCAATTGGCCCTATCGCAAGATCTGCGGGCTCCGGAAGAGCATTGCATCAATGGCCAAGCAAGTCAACTACTTCGATGGAGAACAGAGGCGTGCGTACGCCGACCAATTGGAAAAGCTCGAGCATGAACTACAAGCGTATCTTCGAACGGGAAACGAACCAACGGAAGAGTTCTTGCGAATGTTACGCGCTTCAACTTCGACGCAGCAACAGAACCAATCAGAAGCACACGCAGCAGAAATTAGCCATGAGGACGATGAAAAGGAAGCGCAAGCGGTCCCGTCGTGGACGGCAAGACCAAGTATTGCAGTGCCCCTTTACATTGGTGGACAAATCGTGTATCCCACCCAGGAAGTGCAGGCTGCATCGCAGCATTTACCAGCGCCAGGAATGAGTGTAAATACGTGGCGTCCTCCAGGACCATCGTTTCCTACCATCGCTACACACCACCGTGCGCTACCGTCGATCGCGTCCATTCTACAGCACCAGAGCTACTCCAGTCCGAGCCGCGCTGCGTCGACGCAGAATCCAAATACAGTTCAACAATACGAAGTGGATCAGCAGCAGCAATGGCAATATTTCCCTCCTACAAATGGCAATGCAGTATGAGTTATCCAGTATGACGCATCACGAGGGAACAGAAAATCGAGGCTCATATTTATCAGCGTAAGGCGCTTTAGTAAAGGGGGGGGGGGAGGGTGTAGATGTTTTCGTGTTTGAGTATTGCTTAAGTTGGAATAGAAGACCGTGAGCCAGATGTTGGCATCAGACGATAAAGCCCTGCTTGACGAGGAGGACGATATTCTGGCAACCTGACTCACTACCCTCAAGGATCTACTTATGACGTGATTGAAGTTAACAAGTAAGCCGGTAAACAATGGATGAGCAGTTCACTTACTATGATATGCGCTGATCAAAATTCGAAGCTGTTTATCGGCACACCGGACTCACCACTCGCTCAGTTAACAAAGTACGAAGTACTTCTTACTAGTACTTCGTACATGTAGAAAATCTTTACTATAATACGGGTACTGTACTTGCCGCGTAATGCGTGTGGACAATGAGTGTAATGGCATCCAGACCATTTGGCAGACATGACCTGACACTTGCTGTTGTACCCTGATCGTAGACTGTAGCTCAGCATTCTGGCTGTCTGTGCTGGTGTTGCCGGCGGTTGTTCAGTAACCACCGTTTCACATATTACTGATTAATAGCGCTGGGCTCACCCCATCCGGCTTTCCTCGCCAAGGATTCCTAGGCGGAAACCTTGTCTTGTCTTGCGGCGGCATACAGTTTGCACATCATGCGCTGTTTCAAAGTGAAACTTCAAAGACGCATCGATGCAGTGGCTGCGGAGCATCTACGCTAGTATTTTTTAATAAGGACTGAAGTACATGTTAATACTTCTGCTTTGTAAATACTGCACCTGGACATTAGCCACGTCCGCCTTTGGTGACGAAGGAGACTCAGAGAAGGCCCTCACGGCTTCGACAATCACGCGTGACTTGAGGTCTTCTCCGACGTTGCATTGGTAAATTACCATTGGTAATCGCCACGAATGATGTTGCCGCATGCAACTCTTCGTTCTGTCTTTGACGCAAGGTCGCATCTTTCAGACAGCAGCTCTTCGGGCTCGAATCGACTTCAGTTCACATTTCATAGACCTCCATGTCTTCGCGGCGAGCGGGAACCAGACGACACCGTGGGGCGGCAGATCACCTGTCGGTTCTTTCTTGAAGAACGCAGAAAAAATGGAATTGGGTTGCATCGGTCATGGTCGTGACAGGATTAAGCTGATCGCGTTCGAGTCTTCGTACATGTTCTGTAGTATCGGTAGAGTTGATTCATTCGGATTGCTCCTTTCGGCGCTAACTTGGCGACCAACAGGAACGTAATGTAGAGCTCGTCCTCCTCGTATTCTATTTGTAGCGAAATACTTGCAAGCGCGGGGTGGCGCCAGGTGCGTAGCGTGTGCCGCGACTCATGCCTGTCTGCAACGGATCCTCTTCAAGAGTCAAGAGTCTTGATCCACCCGGCAACGCCGAACCGGGCAAAAACCGGGTTGGGTTGCAGCTCCTGGACAGAGCACTGCAGTACAGGCGCGACATGACGGCTGCCGCGCACTGCATCGGAATGCCATCGCGAATATCTGCACGCAGAAGCCGCGTCACAGATTGACAGCGCGCCAAGCAAAAGTCTCTGTTTGTCCAGCAGCAACTTGCAGCGTTGCGTGTCGAATCCACCCACTTTGCGCACTCATCCGTTGGCAGGTGACACAGGTGGAGAACGGACCGCGTCGTGGTCTCAAGTGGTACGCAAGTCCAGTCTCCGCTGCTGTCTGCTGCTTCAGTTCGGTATCCACAAGAGGCCTCCTCAAATATCGAACTCATTTTTCTTTCCGCCTTCTTGTTCACAAGCCGATCTCGGCGGATCGATCAATCGCAAACAAGGGACCCAACCCAAGTTGGGTTGTCTCGATCGCATATTCTCGAAACGGCGGGGTGAGGAAGCAAGCCACCAAAGCACGATCCGATCCTGCTCGTGAGCTCTTTGAGGCGATTCTCGTCGAAGATTGGTACTGTACATCCGTACATCCGTTGCTCACTGTCAGCATTACCGTACGCGCCGCCGTCCGACGGACACCTGGACGACGACAGAAAACGGAGAGTTCCATCCCCTTGTTCTCTCCTGCTTCTTGCTCCTGGCTCCTGGACAGACGCAGCACCGACCGATCGGAAACAGCTTTCAAATCCAGCGTCGCCAGTCATCCATCCGTGAACGGCGCGCAGCCATCTGACAAGTTGGACGCCAAGAACATATCTCACCTCTCAATTTACCCACCAGACAACAAGTGACGCTATTGCAACAATGGAAGCCTTCGCGTTTGCAGGCAACATCGCCGTCGACCCGTTGGCCGAGTTGGCGGCGGCAACCTCCAGGTCCGTCTCATTACCGCCGTTGGTGCACAAGCGCCAGTTGGTCGGCACCGCCGGCACGCCGGTCAAGCGTCGCAAGGTGTCGGAGCCCGTCTCATCGCCCGGTTCGCCAATGTCGACGTCGTCCGTCGGGTCGACGACCTCGTCCTCCAAGTCGGGTTCCCGTCCTAACGTGACAGCTTCAAGCAGCATAACACTGGATATGCTGCGCCCGCACTTTGAAGAGCCGTTGGCCAAGGTCGCGGCACACTTCGGCATCTGCGTGACGTTACTTAAGAAAATTTGTCGCCGACATGGTATCGCGCGTTGGCCACACCGTCAGATCACGGGCCTTCGCAAGAGTATTGCCTCAATGGAGCACGCTATCGGATACTTCGACGGCGATCGACGCGAGTCGTACGCCGAGCAATTGCTCAAGCAGAAGAAGAAACTCGCTGCGCTACTGGAAGACCCGACGGTAAACAACCCGCTTCTGGCGAATGAAGAAGAGCAACGCGTCGAGAATACGAGGAAACAGACAAAGACTTCACCCGTGCACGAGGTGGCACCGGCACTGATGACTCGTGCGTCGTCGCCTACCGGTCCGGTGCTGGCGGAGTCACCGTACTACGGTGCATCCATGATAGCTACGCCGGCACAGACACCACCCATGTGGCTTCCGGCACCGCATGTTGAGCCGAACTACACGCAGAATTACCACCAAGTTTGTCCTCCTACGCTCGACCAACGCAGTCCAGTTTACCCGTCGAGCTACTATATGCCTGGAGCGATTGCAATCAGCAATAACGTTCCTACAACCGCCATTCAGTTGCCTCCGCTACGTCGAGAGTCACGCGCAGTGTTGCCACCCATTTCGTCACTGGTAATCAGCAACAACATCTTCTCGTCGATGCCAACAACGAGTTGGTAAAGGAAAAAAAAAGTTAACCAAAAAGAAATGTAGAGATAGGGAGGGTAGCATAGCTTGAGTAATACTACGTAGTATTGAACCAACGACACTCTTATGAACTTCATGTTGCATTTCCAATTCGGTGGTGGTGAAATTTTTCGTGTGGGTGGTTCCTGACATGATTGTAAAACTGCAGAGCATCAATAAAATGCCCACGCAATCAAAAAATGATCGTGCTGAAATTTTCTTCCAAATCTTTTTGCGACGTAAAGTGAGTTGGATAGGCCTACTGTACTAACCAGACAGCCACGCCACGCCGAAATTCTTCGAGAAGTTCTACTGCTACCGCAAAGCGGTAGCAAAAGGTGTAATTTCCGGTATCACCAGTGTGCGATCTGCATTTCTATCCTGAGACATGCGCTTAGAATAACTTTGAGATGGGAAAGCAGCTTTCAGAATTTTAGAGATCCTCCAGCCATTCACCAAACTGGCCAGCAAAGCGAGCAAACAAGGGAGAGGAAGGCTAATGGTAAGTTGTATCTGCTTCTGTGGCCTCTTGTAGTGGCGCTGACGATTACATGCTGTAACTGATCTCGAATCTAGAGCGACGAGAGTGAAGGGGGAAGCGACACGCTGTTGGAGGGGCGAGCGCACTTGCTTCAGCTACGAGCCCAAAGAGAGAAGGTTGAGCAAAGAAGGAAATCGGAGACCAAGCGGTGTCGAGCGCTAGAGGAAGCTACGCAGCTTGCTTCATTCGAGCTAGTACACACCTCTATGTCTCGAGCGCAGGTGCGCGCTTTTGTTACGAAGAAACGAGAGCAGTACGCAGCTCGCTATACTGCTGGAGCAGCTGGAGCTCCCCCGCTTCCCATAACTCGCGCGTGCAAGCAAAGCAAGACGCAGGCGTCACCTCGTACGAAACAACCAGATCAGTTGGATGGCATTGGGGATGAGTCCCTGGAAAGTCCGGATGACTGCCGTGACCCTGATTACGTGTTGGATGCTGGCGACGACATTGCAGGTGCCGATGAAGACATCAGTGCCTACGACGAAGCAGCATGTGTGTCTCCCCCGGCTGAAGTGTTGACATGCAGCACAGACAAGTAAGCGAGACATTATTTTGGAATAAGTGAATCGTCGGACGATGAAGGTCAACAGCCCCCGACACAAAGCAATCTACAGTTGGACCAAACGGAGAGACTACAGATCGAGCACCCGGAAAAACCACAGGGAGGACAACAGGAAACCCTACACTTGGATCACCCGGAAAAACTACAAGGTGCTCTACCGATGAATTTACAGGGTGGCCTACCGGAAAAGGTAAATAGTTCAGTGAAGCCATTTGAAAATGCAGAAATACCCTCCAGATTTCTCTCTCTTCCGTCATATTCTTGTGTTAGGTTTCTGAAGCAATTTCCATCTCGCTGGCTTTCATAGGAGCGCTTTCATTCTGAGCTTCACGCATTTTCAGCGCAAACAAACCAGCGGTTTTTCGTTCGCTCGACATCAAGTGTGAAGAAACGGAATGATCAGATATTCCGCTTGCTGAGCTTTCGACGTTGTCAATGGCTCTCGACAATATCCATTCTTACAGCCACGCACGCCCTCGCAATCAAGTATGGTGAAACTTGAGTTGTGAGTCCATCATTTGCAGGCATGAAGGAGCCCGACAGAAAGCGCAAAGTTGCAAATGCATACAACGCGTTCTCGGGAACGAACACGGAAATATTCGGGGTGCTGAATATTGGAGGAGTGCACTGGGTAGCCTACCATATCGACGTACGAGCTCAAACCCGCCGTCTCTTTGACCCTCAGCAAGGAACAGCATCTTACAATGAGTTGGAGGCTGCCGTGAAGGAAGTTGGTGAGCCGCTGCTGTCGCTGAACTCTGAGCTCATTTACTACAAGTTCACATCGTGCCTACAAGAAGATAACGACAACTGTGGTCTGTGGTGTTTAGAGCTCACACTTGACCGTACTCCGTGGAACAAGGTGCTGTACGAGCTAGTGCCGTACCTTCGCCTTCGATACTTGGGCATGTGCACCAGCTACATCGAGGAACAGCGCGGCGGAAGATAATATCTCTAAATCTAGACATTGAGAATGGGCGAGCGAGGTGCTACCGTGTCAATAATTGTCGGCTGTTAGTAGTATAACATGAACATGATAAAAAACACGCTTTGTGATTCAATGTTTTTTTTCGGTAGCAGTAGCATCAGCCAAATTCTCCCCACTTGGAGCCGATCAGTTTAACTTTTCAAGCTGCTGACATCAGTAAACACGACTCCGACATGTGAAATACTACTATTAATAACATGATATTTATTCGGCCTTACTCAAATGCTTTCCTACCGCAGATAAAAATTGACGATAAGCGGCGTTCACCTCCAGTCCGTCATCTCTATCGACGGTGTGCTCATATTTCCCGCAAGTAGTTTAGTATCCCGTACATTAGGACACCAACGTTGCGGCGATGCAAACGGAGACTCTGCAATCGAGTCGGACGAAATAGGAGGACGGACATTTTTGAGAAACTTGAACGACACAAGCATCGAATTTGACATTTTCTTCCCGACTCACTTGACTTCTTAAATCATGTGCTCCCCGTGTCGCACCCGTTCGTCGTCGCTTTCCTCCTCGGACGAGTCGCCGTCATATAAGTCGGCGGAAGAAGCTTCTGACTCGAAAGAGAACTTGGGATAGCGATTCTCTTCTGCCAGCATCTCAGTGTCGCGTTGCTCCACGTCGTGCATTGTGAGCGGGTCGACAATATCGTAGTCGCTCCTCATGCTGCTAGCAGTCGAAGCACCAAAGACTTGCGGCTTCCTACTGCTCGGGGGCACAGCGTTTGCTGTGTACAAGTTGTAGGTAGGCTGCGCGCCTAAGTACTGCTGGTTTCCAGGTCTCTGTCGAGTAGCGTACGCCTCCTCTTCGTCTTCGTGAATAGCTGTAGGCATGAGCTGACTAACAGTCAGCGGTTGCTGCCCTGAACGAACGGAGTCCAGCTCAGATTGCCTCATTGAGGTGGACGACGCAGTCACGTCCACGAAATTACTGCCTGCCCCGCCGGACGACGGCCCACTGTGGCTCGCGTAGTGGTGTCCAGCGCCAGCCACGGCCCCAGCCGCCATAAGTTCCGGGCCTGTACTGACGCTGTAATCGGCGTAATACTGCGAGTTCTGGGCGTACTGCGAGTTCTCGCCATAGTTCGAAAAGTCAGCCGTTGGCCTCTCCGCGCTGTAGGCACTGCTAGCCTGCGAGTCTGACAGCATCGAGATACCGTTACCCTTTTCAGCCTCATCCTTGTAGCTGTAGGTTGAATACAAGTTGCCTCCCGAAGTACCTGAACCCAGCGTTCTGTCGGACCATGCGCTGTTGTGTCCAGACGACACCGTCCGCTCCTGGGAGGCAGCCATTTTCTTCTTTTTCATCACCCGACGGGCGACGAACGCGATCACTATCACTACAAGCACCACGGCGCCACCGATAAGCGCCAGACTAACAATTTTAGGGGAACCGCTCGTGCTCGACGTGTTGCTGGTCAGTGTATGTTCGGCGCCACTGGCAGACGACGGCGTGTATGAAGTTTGAGTCGCGTCCGTGTCGCTCGAGGTAGTCGACGTCGACGGCGCTGTAGTGGCTTTAGTCGTTGAGGCGTCATCTTCAGTAGGAGTCTGGCTGTTGGTGTTGTCCGTGGCGTCGGGCGCCGACGTCTCGGGGGCTGCAGTCGGTGCATCCGTCGGGGCCTCTGTAGGGGTTTCTGTAGCTTTCGCCGGCGTTTTCGTCGTCGGCGTGGGAGTGGTTTCCCCGCTGTTACTCTTGCTAGAACTCTTGTTAGTCGTGGTCGAGCTCTTATCGCATTCGGCGTACATCCCCGAAAAGGGGCATTCTCCGGACGTGTCACGGCTGTAGCAAGAGTAATCACCGCCCGTGAGCGCGTACACGCACGGCGGACAGGTTTCCGAGGTGAGGTTGCATTCGGTCGAACCTTCGGACAGACACGTCGTGACGCCCGAACAAGCCGCCATTGACTCCAGAGACCTGTGTGTGCGTATCATTTGAGACCCGCTGTCGTTGTATTTGATGTCCAAGGCCTGTATTTCCTGTGAGGTAGTCAATCCTCTGTAGCTGTAAAGGAGGCAATCGCCAAGAGCTGGGAGCTCGATCGAAGCTCCACAACTCAATGAGGGAACGGGAATGAGGAACGTAAGTTCGAACGTCGGTACTCCGCCGAATTTCCCGATCGCGCCGCCGTCGTCTGTACGTCGCGCCGTAGGGTATCGCGGAGACACTAAATCCCCGCGATGGACCAATAAGCCACGCTGTTTGAGGGAAATACCACGGTCTCTGTGTTCAAGATAAAAGCGAGATCGGATACACGATAGGCCGAGAACTCCCAAGCTGGTAAATCTTCTGGCTGGAAACGACGTCGTGCAGATTTTGCTCAGTGTGGAATGTTACTGTTCGAGTAGACACATGTCTTTATCGATACCGGTACGCTTACGCTTGAATTGCACCAGAGTTGGCAACACGGATTGCATGAATCAAGAGTCGGGAGCAGCAGTGCGACCCGAGCGCTGAAAAGCATCTTCAGAATGCGTTTTCAGGTCTGCCAGTGTGTCTACTTCTCTATTTGCGTCCACAAAATGAGTATCTATCATATCAAAATGATCACATGCAAGTTTTTATTCACGATGTAAATGATATTTATCCTTCCTCGGTTTCTATGCCATGTCGCACTAAGTTTTCTACATTTTGCATTTCCGGCACTTTGCAGCTACAAATTCTTGAGCTCGGTATCAAAACGATGCGCCCCGCAAGATATCATAGATATGGATACTGGAGTGGCTCCAGAATCCCACCCAAATTGCCTCGTTTCAGGCTCTGGATGACGTCGTGGGGCTGGCTGATACCGACACGACAGCGTCCACATCAAGTGTCACTTCTTGGTCTGTCTTGCTGGATCTCTCAATCTCCAAACAAGAAGCTGTGCTGCTCCTGTCACTGGGGCTACTGGCAGATAGCTGCATGAGGTTCTGCAGTTGATCCAGATTCTCCTGTTGGAGCTTCTCGCAGCGCATGACCGTCTCGGTCAGCAACACGATAATGTCGCTATGCATCTCTTCCTGTTCTCTGCACCACACTTCAACGTCCTCTGACAAAGTAGACGTCGACGACTGTAGCGATGTCGTCGTGGAGCGGTCCACCGTAGCTGTAGCGTCACCAGTACTGGATCTCAGGACTGAATCAGCACTAGTCGACCTAGAAATCGAGACTGGAACACTCGTCAAGTCTCCGTATCCCGGATGGTCAATAGTCTCGTGTACAATGTCACTACTCTCGTCATCATCAAAGAATCCACTCGTAGTGGGATGACTCCCTCCACTAACCGAGTGTCTGTCTGCCGGAGATGGCGACGCCTTGTTCTTCGACCTCGACGACCCACGCGAGAAGAAATGACTCGGTCTAGATGTGCTACCGGTCGGTGACGATGCTGATCTGGGAGAGGTCTGCACATTCTGGTTCGTTCTAAATCCCAACGAGATCGGACGTCGAGTAGTTTTCAGCTTGTCCACAATCTCCCGAAATATCAGATTATCCACCCGTTCGTCATTGATACTCACCAATTCGTCTCCAAGTCGACAGTTGCTGATGCCTGTGGTGACACCGTCGGCATGCTGCAAGACTGCAATCTGAGCGCCGACTTTATTGTCTTTGCGTGAGAAATTTCGTAGTGAGATGCCACATTCGCCACTGACCCACATGACCGTGTACTTGTCCGTGCCCATGCGTCCCATGGACATTTGGGACATTGAATAGGACGGACGTGGCTGTGGACGACCACGTTGGGAATACCGGTACCCATTTTGCTGTTGCCGCATCATGATGGACGACTGGCGACTCACCAAGGTGTTGGTATAGTGCGTGTCGTCTAGAGCCTCGTCCAGCGCTGACAGGTCCTCGAGCGTCATCTGACTGGCCCGCGGGTCCAGCTGCGAGTTCGAGAAGGGCGTGAAGATGCTGCCGCGCATGCCGCTCTGGCTCTGGTCCAGAGCGGACGACGAACCAGCACGACGGGTGGAACTCGGCTCGCAGCCGTCGACCGCCTGAAGCAGCGCGTCGTAGAGCTTGGACTTGCGCTCCATATCATCGCGAAGAGCCTTGAGCTGCGCCACTAGATCGGGCAGGTTGCGCGCTAGCTCCGCGGCCGGCGTGGCGGTGTCGTCCGCGCACTCGGTGCGTGTGAGGTTCTCCATGATCCGAAGGAAGTTGCGCAGTGTGACTGACCTGGTCGGCGCACTTGCGCTTTGTATGCCATCCTTGTGGGATGGGTCGCTCTATATATCCCACGGTTTTCATTTGTAATGAAGTCAGAGACGCGCAATTTGGGTACGTTGTAAGTAAAATAATGGAGATTGTGTTCTTGAAAACTTAATCTAATTTCGGTGTGTTTAAAAAATTGGTAAATTTGACCTATAATGCCTTCGGTTCTGATCGAAATGGTGAATTTGCGCCCCAACTCCTCTCTTTCACTCATATCGCAGCGCCAACCCTTACAGCTACCAAAGCAGGAGAAGTTGCGCCCATGGCAGGCGCTATATGTGATAGGCTATTGCAAGATGTTGCGTCACGCGGCACCGCAAGATAAAACTGATAGCGAATGAGGACGTTCAGACTTCCAAATTCTCAGTAGTTTTAATTGTTCTAGATACTTCTGAAGTAATGCTTTAAGTGCAGAACGCTGATGGGAAAACCGGGAGTTTCTAATGATGGTCTCTGCAACAGTGTTGCTGAGCTGCTGTGGTGAGCAACGTTATTAATAATTGCTATCACTGGCTTCATCTTTAGACTTTCTCCGTCGAACTTGCTTGACGTCATGTTTTTCCGCTTTTTGAAAGCGTCCTGCAACGTTAAAAAAAGGAGGGGGTGAGAGACTGATATGGAGCTTAGCCGAGCTAATGCCTGCTGTTTAAGATCCGTGTGCGGAGCACGCGGGCTTAAGCCAAGTGGCTAACTCCCGGTCGTCCCATTAGGGTTTAAGTGCCCTGGAAGGTTTGGTTTGGATTTAGGCAGGGTGATAGAATTTCCTGCTTAATGGCGTTTTTTAAATGTAAATTATCCACCGATTTCAAACCTGTATAATTCTAACCACTGCGTCTTGTATTTTTAGAAGGTCCTTCCTTTGTGTTTGCTACTATTTTAATACTAGAACGGTGCCCGTGAGCTTGTAACGGTAGCTATAACAAAGCTGCGCTTTTGCACGGAACAGCTCTGTCTTTTTGTGCCAACATGTTATTTTCACTATTCTCCAACGAACAGTGACCTGCGGCTGTGGGAGACTTGGGGTTGGCATAACGCCGAAGCTGCTGAGTCGAGGTCAAGTTTGCCAAAGGCGTACGATCGTACGCCGGCGCCGCATCCGCCTCAACCGTACGCTTGTCCACTCCCCGGAGAGGATGGACACGAGGCTATCAGTGCCCTTTTACACTCAAGTTCGCCTCAAGCTACTGCATCCGATGGAGGAAGGTTTCGCTCTGGAAAGTCCCGTCGTCGGACTCGGCGGAAGAAGGTTCGTCACCCTTCAGCTGAGTTCTGCTACTCAGCCCGCTGTCTCTGCTCGTTCTGAAGACGACGGTGACGCTTCGAGCGAAGCTGAGTTTGAGTTTGAGTTGCCTGAGCCGCCCGCCGACACCGTTCCTGCAGTCGCTTCGACGACTTCGGTGGGTTCTTCGTCTTCTGGCCCTCCGGTGACTTCGTCGGTCGCGGCTACTCGCCCACCGCCGATATCTTCATCTGATGTCGTGGCCTCACTGCCTGTCCCGGCTACGAGCGTGGGTGCCCCAGGCTCGACTTCGCCCATCTCCGCTGGGTTGCCCCAGTCGAGCGCACCACTCAGTGTCGTGCTAACGGTGGTTGGACACTCCCAGTCGCCCTCTCGGGGTCTGAGCGTATCCACCACGCCGACTGACTTAGTGACTCCGGCCGTGAGTGTCCTCAGACCGTCTCTCCCTGTGACCACGGCCGTGTTGACGTCCCCATCTGGGCGTCCTATCCGGAGATCGGCTGCGACCTTTTCAGCTTTCAACGCCGGTAATTATCCAGCTTCTTCCAACATTTTGAGTTTCAATCCCTTCGGCCTGTATCCCTCGTACTGCTTACTCATCGCCGTATGGCTGATCAAGGTGAAATTGGGCTCAAACGACCGAGGGTATAATCCGGCAGATTCTCCGACTCTTGGTTTTTATCATGTTATGCAAGAAATTCAAGCAGTCTTGAATTGATTTTAAAAAAGGAAACTCATAACATTTATAAATATAGAGAGGAAAGCCCGAATCTCGCAGTCGCACCGGAAACGCATCCCTCTGAAATGCGATAACGTCGCGGCTTTACACCTTGCACTTAGCCCGGCCGTTTTGCCAGAGTAGACGCGGCATGTCCAGGCTTTCATTCATCAAATTGCTCGCTCAAGCGCAAGCCACTCAAGCCCTCTGCCTCCAAATATCAACACAAAACAGACCCGGACCGCCAACGAATGTGTGACGTGCTCCAGCTCCAGCCTGCAGGTGCCTTCCTCCGTCAGGCCTACAACCTCCAGCCCTTGCGCCTCCACTCAGACCCTATTGCGGTCGTGGGCAGTTGCACAGACATCGATGAAGCGCTGCGCCTTCCTGACTACGAGGACGAGGCGGCGACGCTATATTCGGCTTCTTCCTGCCAGATGAAGGCGTCTAAAGAGCCCGAGGATTTCCTCACGTCGATCCGTCGCGGACTCGATGAGCTCGAAGCCGAAGAAGACGACGACGACAGCGACGATGACAGCGACGACGAGGGATATTACTACCAGGCCAACAAGGAGAACACTTACTACAGCCCGGACCAGAAGTTGCCCGGTGGCTTCCTGTTGGACGACACCCTCGACCTGTCCGACACGTCTACAGCCTCGTCGTCACTCATGCCGTGGGCCCACCAAGAGTCCGACGATGAGAACGACGATGACATGGAAGAACTCATCTTCCAACTCGAAATGTGAAAAAAAGATAAGCAGAACTGTAGTGTAGATACCCAAATCGTAACACTATTTATTTAAAACGAATTGAACAACACAAACAGTTTCATCGTCCTATAAAAAACACGAAAGATTATGCATCTTGAACCATCGAGGTAAATAGAACTAAAGGGTAGAGTGTACTAAAACTAAAGCTAATAGTGTAAAAACAACTCGCAGTTTTCTTACTAGATCAGGTCTTGAATACCTCCCACAGCGTACGTGCGGTGTCTAATGAAGTGTAGAAATTTTGCTTCGCATATGCTCCATACTTGGATATATTCAATGTCTGCCTTTTCTTGGATACATCTCCTGCGTAGTGTTTCTATCTACATGCATGTAGAACAGGGGTATTGCCAGAAACAACTACAATTTCCTAAACCATTTTTGTTTTGTGAAACGCAAGAGTATCGAAAAATCTTTATCAGAACCGGATTTTTACAAAAGGCTATTTTAAATTACCAAAGTGAAAACGAGAGTGTACCGGTACCATATCTAAATCAAATTGAGTTTAAGTTTTTTTTAAATTAACTGTACTTAAATAAAATAATTTAACCTCATTTTAGTTCCGGGTAGGATTCAAAATTTAAAATCTAGAGAATAACTTAAAATTACAGAGAAATTTGACTCTACGAACTTCGTATTTTAGGAAATACTTCTGAAAATCGTAAAGCTCGTAGCAACGATCCGATTGAGTATTTCCCTACTCGTAACGAGCTGATCTTCCTCACCCATCCTAGTCGCATTCTGCTGCCCTGCACAGAGCTCACCGCAGCAGCGCTGTCATATATTCAGCCTAAATTTGGACTTGGTCTTAAAAGTAGACTTTGGACCATGTTTGCAATTTGTAAGCTGCCGATAGATTTTTTCTAAACCAAAATATAACGCCTCATGTCATCGTACTGGAGCAGTAATATATATATTGTCGAAACTCAATGACAGCATTAAAAATATCAACCGTGTATTATGCGGACGTGAGCGGTGCCATTCTTTCGATAGCTCTTGCTGCTGATATTTGGCCAAGATTCGTTTAACGCGTCATCAATGGAGACGCGTTGCGTCGCCAACATGTCTGCGAAACGAGTGGAAGCTGCGTGTAGCGAAGAGGTTCTTCAATTGACGGTAATGAACACCGCTGCTTGTACTAAAGTAGTAGCATCGCACGATTGCAGTGAAATACGTAGTATGTCCAGGGATATCCGTCTTGTCGTATTTCGTCGGTGGTTGGGAAATCATCGGGCAGGTTGCGGCATGGTGCACCGTACTGTATAAGAGATGGAGGATAGTTTTTTTTCAAGCAGCTATTATTAATAATTAGTCTCGGCTAATTAAATGGAATACTTGTACGTCTCAAAAACCTACGCATGTGCGCCACCAACAACATTAAACACCAGCGTCACTGGCAACCAACCCGGTAACGTTTCGGAGACCGGTTGATCCGTTCCACTCCGCCGCCATGTAGACGAAAGGAATCGTCGTCTGTAGTCGACCTCCAAGTGACTTGGAGGTCTTGCCAAAGTCCTGCATGGCGTTGGGCAGCTTCGCCAATAGCGGCAAGTTACATAATGGAATCGACAAAAACTCTGCCGCCTATGGCAGGTGCAGCTGGAGCTCAAACATCGCCTGGCCTGAACCGCTCAGCCTGAACCGACGGTTCAGAACCGTTCGGCCAGGCGAGATTTGGTTCCCAAATGCCGGATCGGTACTTGAAGCTCTCCGAGGACGCTTGAAGTTGAAGAGAATTAACAATCAACACGCGAGCCCAAGCCTCCTACGAGCCCGAGCAAGAGCCGGGCTCCCGGGTTCTTGGGCGGAGCCCGGAATTTTAACTAGGCGGGCTCTCGGGATCCTGTGTAAAATAAGTTAAATATAAGGAGTCCGTTGTTATGGTCGGGATCCCGGTTAATTTAGATGCATGTGACTTATTTGAATATCTAGGATCCAGATCAAGATTTCAGCAAACCAGGGCGTCTCAGTAAGGCCATGGTTCTAACAAGATCTCAGGCCCGTGCCGCAGCACAAGACCAAGCGGGCATACTAGAAGGGATTGTTACCGAGGTACACGATGAAGAGCTCCTTGCTGTCGTCCCTGCACATGCCCCTGCGCAGAATGTTCGCCTCGAGTCTCAAGTCTCAAGAATCGTCGACAGCTTCTGGAGCGAGACCCAAAGACTTGCTGCAGAGACTACAATGATGCAGAGCAATCAAGCTCAACAAGCGAAAGAGTACCACGCCGCCTTGGCTGCCATCCACCACGATGCTCGAAGCAGTACGGCTGAGCTGGCAGCACACCAACAGTGGATTGAGGGCCAGATACGAAAGGCCCTGGAAGACACTAACTTGGCTCTACGACAAGAACTGCAAGTTATTTCCAATGCCCAGGTAGTAGGTAATGAATCTTCGCGTTTATTTATCCAGGAGCAGCTGCAATCTGCGCGGGGGGTCGCGCATCTTGAAGTATTGGAGATGAAGAGTGCGATAGCAGCCCAAGCTGCGAAAGTAGAGCAGATCGAGAGAGAAATGACAGTAGCAATCACAAATG